TATATATATATACACATATATAATACTAGCCTCATGGATATTATTGGCATGATGTTGTCGAGATGAGTGGATGTCGTCTTGCCGTGGTTGGGATTTCTTGTCGTGGTTCGTGTTCCAGGACAGTCAGCTACCGCACCTGCTTCCAACAACGAAAGAAGCCGGACAGCTTTTCACAGCAGACATGCAGGTTTGCCTCCAACAAAGAAACTAACCGTACATTTTCTGGCAGCAGACCTGCGTCCAACAAGGATTGCAGCCTCACAGCAGATTTGCTTCCAACATAGAAAGACAGTGGGCACTTCCTGGCAGCAAACACCAACAAGGAAAGAAGCCGGACTCCTTCTCATTGCAGTGTGTCCAACATCGAAAGACACCGTGCATTTTCTGGCAGCCGACCTGCGTCCAACAATGAACCGGACAGCTTTTGACAACAGGTTTGCTTCCAACACAGCAGGAAACCGGACATTTTCTGGCAGCAGGTACCTGCTTCCAACAAGGAAACATATCGGACAGCTTTTCACAGGATACCGGAAACGATCTTATTTTTGAGCTGGCCCCAGGAGGGATGCCAATACATACTGCAGGTGAGTCGAGTCAGCCTGCTGAGGTGCACTTTTGTTAAACCCCGGTTAAAGGGTGGAGCACTAAACCCTGCCTTCGAAGCCTAACCCCCTAAACCCTCAACAGAAAATCCCAAGTTAAGGATTGGCTTAGTGGCAATAGCAAGAAGAAGCCAAGGTCTCGGCCTCGACCAGGCGCTGCCGAAGCAGGTGGAACTGGTTGGTTGCCTATCCAAACAGTTTACTGTAGGGGTTCTTGTTTTTTCAGCTTGAAAATTGCCGACGTTTCACACTGCGGATGAATGGCCAATGCCGGCTAATGCTGGTGTCTTTGATGTTTGTCTCCCTCGTCTCCCGTCATTTCGAACCATCCAATGCCGGGTTTGTCTCGTTGCCTTTCTTCAATTGGAGTCCTTGTAATATCCCTTGCAGTACGGCTCGTAAGGTTGGAACTTTCAGGACTACAGTTCCTTGAGTTGTTTGCATGACACAGCTCTGCTCGACGTGCCGAGCAAGAGCTTCAAGTGCCAACGTTGACATAGAATTCGTGGCCGTGAAAACCCCAAACTCCATGCTGCAGGCTTTTGCGATGTCGTTTTCGACTGTTGATCATTACGGTAAAGGTGCAAGTTTGACCCCCTGAGCGAAGCCCCAGACGCACCCAACTCGCCTTCGGACAGGCACCGATCCCTGGTAACGTGGCCCGCCTCTACGCAGAGGTCGGATCGGGACAGATCCTCGCTTCGGCGTTGCTTTTTCTCAGCTCTTCAGCATCCAACCGTGTTTCTTTTTGATTTGGTTCATAATCTTTTGGGATTGCTCTGCGAGTTGTTTACCTTTCATATCCTTCCGCATTGGATACGTAAGATTTTCCAGGTGGTGGATTAGTCAGCCAGGTGCTCTCTATGTTGGTTTTCAAGATTACCTTTGTTGTCCACAAGACTCAAATGAGCTTCCTTGAGCATGAACGAATTCGTGCAGAGGGGGCACACTACTTGGGGACACCTGAACACTCCATCCACAATCTATCACTGTCACAGATCATGACAGCAGGATCCCGATTGCAATCCCATGCAAGTAGGGGATGGGTTAACCATACTGGCGAAGTTGGGCTGAATGCACGGCGTAGATGCCGTCAAACCAAACCCTGAACCCAAGCCCGACACCCTGAACTTCAGCCTTCGCTGGAGGCTTTCGTTCAGGTTTTGTCCACCCGAAACTTTACATTGACATTGTGAAGCTTGGTCGTCACCGAGCTCAAGCTGAATCCATTCTCTGCAGAATCAGAAGAAAGCTTTGCCCTTGCCAGGGCGGATCCCGGGGCACGCCGCCTGGTTCTCGGGGGCCGGAAGCTCGGGGGCGGCGGGCCGGGGCAGGAGCCCATGCTTCGTGGTGCACGTTGTACTTATTTACCGGAGATGTCATGCAGCATGCTTACACCCGAATCACGCTGTAGCACAAAGACACACTAGCAAGATCGTGATATTTGAGGGAGTTTGTGTGGGACCAGCTTGACTGCAATAGATCTTGAGCACCATCAATGAACAGAACGCCAGAACGGTTCCAACTCTTATTCTGTTATGCTGGGAGCCAGAGTGCTCTCAGAAACATCACTTCGCTTGAGTTCTTGGAGAAGTTGGCTCCGTGCTTAAGACATTGGACTGAGGAAAGGTCCCAGAGAAAGACCCAGCCCGAACATCCCAAACCCTTTCTCAATCCCGCAGCTTGCATTCCATGATGGCGTCAAGTTGAACATCTATGGATGAATGCACATCGACTTCCATTTCCCGTACCCTGCCAAGCAATGCAGAGGTCCCGTGGATTCGAGGCGCACTCATGCCGGGGAGCAGGGTGACGAATGGGGTGGTGTTCGAAAGCTGCTGCGGGCTTGTTTGGGCGAGAATCCAGAATCTTCTACCGGAGGGCGCCGGAGCAGTTGCTCCCTATCCTGTACTGTACAGTTCTGTAGCAGGAAACCCTGCAAAAAAGAACTTGGTCGAGAGTCTAGTCAGGTTCTGCACAGCTGAAATTTCACGCAAGAGCCAGCAACAGAAGCGGGTGAACGTGTGAACGGCAAAGAGCCTGATATTCGTAAAGTTGTTTAGAGAGGCTCGAGGATTTGGGGTGTGGGGTTTGGGGTGTCAGCTCGTCCGAAAGCCGTGACACATCCACACGGCGTTCGAAAAGGAAGTGGGAGAGCATCTGAATATTCAAAAGACTGCTGCAAATCCGTAGGCAACCCCAAGTTTCAAGTAAGCCCAACCAACCCACAGAATAGAGAGACCTATGCCACAGAGTCCCAAAGCTGGTTACCTGAAATGCCCAAAGACTTTGCAACCATCACCCTTCAACTATGAAGAACAACGCCCCCCAAAGCCAAACCAAGAAGGCTTCATACGCCTTCCCCAAAACCAAAGACCTCGAAGTTTCGAGGAAATCCTCAAGCTCTGAATACTCCACGCCTGCCTGACACCCTTGATCCTGAATTCTACACGCCTTCAAGCTCCTAGCACCTCCGCCCCCCGATTCCTCCAGCTTAAACCTTCAACTCAGAGGCACCAGAGCCGGAGGTTCCACACACATCGGGGCCCTCCAAGGCAGGTCAGTCAAGGGGCTTTACGGGGGCGGCGGGGGGCTCTTAGGGTAAAGTCTAAGGTTGGAAGTATGGGCCTCTAATATGGACCCTTAGGCCTTTCTGGGGACCCTTGAGGGTACATATAGGGTATATAGTAGGTGTATAAGGATATCAGGGTTAAGGGCCCATACTAGGGGCCCATGGTTTCAACCTTAGATTAAGGGCTTCGGCTGTAAAGTGGGGGTGGAGAGAGAGAGATAGAAAGAGAGAAAGAGAGAAAGAGAGAAAGAGAGAGAGAGAGAGAGCGTCCGGCGTGAAGTGTTAGGCTTTACGGCTGAGGGTTTCGAGGGTTTAGAAGGTTGGCCTTGTAGGAGTTCAAGGTTCACTGGTTTGCGGTTCGTGCTTTAGGATTCCGGTCTTGGGGCTTTAGCTGTTTAGCTTGTTAAACCGTCAAGCTCGACCCCAAATCTTGCGGGTGCTAGGAG